TTTTTTTTTCCAATATAATTTAAAAAGTAATATTACTGATATATTTGCTATAAATCACATAACAGTATTTATTAAAAGAAATGAAATATTAATATATATTCTCAGTAGTTTTCATTTGCTAAACCAGGTAGTTTTTCAAGTAGTAATTGTCTCTTATGTGAACTGAGGAAAAATATAATTTCCAGCTTTATTTTTTCAATTGGTAATTATTTTTCACTAAATGTTAAGTATCAATGTAATCGTTTTTATAATAATAGATTAGTACACAATTGTATGTCAACACTTTATTTATTACCTTAAACTGTCTGGAATTTATTGTTAAAGGGTTGCGCTTGCGTAAAATTTACTATCGTGGAAATTCAGCTTTTTTGCGTTTTGACTAATCTCATCCCTGCCTTAATGAAAATATATTAAACAATACTTATCCAAGGTTTTATTGGTTATTCTGATTTTGTCATTTTGTAGGTACACTTTGAGCAAATACTACATAAAGTAACACATTAAATTCAATAAAAACAATTAAAATTATTCAATAAAAACGATATATTCTGCAAGCTAAACATATTATTTTCTCCTCGTCTTAATTTTTTAAAAATTAATGTTGTACCAGAACATCAAAAAACAATAAAAAAATATCTTGTAAAAAAATAAAAAATTTTTCAAGATATGTTTAAAAAAAATGACATTTTGAATAAAATACTTTTCTTGTACGTATCCTACACTTTATAAGAAAAAAGGAAAAAAACACAAACGTGGAAATTTTAAGATTTTTACCTGGAAAAATCATGGAAATTTGAAATCTGTTTTGAGTGGCCACCCTGAAAAAAATTATTTTTCAGTTTTAAATGAGTTTTATTATTTAAACTAACTATATATACTAATGTTCACATAAAAATGACCATGTTTGCTACCAACCTGTCTAAATATGCATGCGGCACCTTTTTTTGTCCGACCATTCAAGTAGCCTTTCACTCAGAAAGTCTGTGTACCCCAATGTTAAAGCTTCATTCGAGCAAGCAAAAATTTTGTGATTATTATGACCCCAATTTTTATTGATATGCAGCATGCATCTGTACAGAAGTTTAAATTTATCACGGTTATTTTAAGAGCTATGTAATTTTGTTAAAAGAAAATCTTTTTTGTTTTTTCCAAAACTTTTTTTAAGTATCTAACCTTAAGTTTTGCAAATTTAAAAATAAAATAGAATTTAAAAGTTTGATTGAAAATAATTGTAAATTAGGCTGTGAGGTTTTATACTTTTTTGTTCAAAAATTTTCTCAGTGGCAGTGCTCGAAATTGATCAATATTCCCTTCTTTTTAGGATCGACTAATGGATAATTATTTTAAAACTCAAAGATTTCCTGGAGTATGCATTAAAGTGAAACCAAGGATTTTTCCTCTATTGAATGTTATATTTTGGTCAGCAGTTGTTGGAGTACCATTTTGTAGGTTGCTGCTATATATTCTTGTAAATGGCAGCTTATTTGCTATATCTGCTGTAGTAAGCATTGCAATGTTATGTAAGTAGTTTTTTTTTGTTAAATAATCTTCTGTTAAATATTTTATTCGATGTAAGTTACTTGAAAAAGAATTAAGAGTATGTTTACAATTGAAATTACCTTAGTAGATATTATATAGAATTATTCTGAGCAGTGAAAATGGGCTTGTTAGCTGGAAGAAATTTTCAGGCTCATGGTTTTTAAATAAATATTCAAAATTTTTTTTTTATATTAGCTTTATATATTTGAAATAGAGTAAAAACTATTTGAGAATTTCGTTGGTACAATGGTTGAGGTCACTGAACTGGCATTGAGTATAGGGGTTTTATGCGAAGTAGCAGCTTTAAATCCATCTAGTGCCTCTGATTACTCTTACATTGAGCTGACTGAGTACCGGGTTTCTATACAGAGTAATGACTGAAAATCCACTTAACTTTAGATCGGTGGATACACACTTTAAATCTGATCACATCACCTTCCACACTCTTCACAAGATTGTGAAGTCTTCATTTACGCAAAAACTGCTGACCCACAATGAATTGTAGCAAGAATACTCTCTTAGTCCATATTAAAGACATAGAAGAGATTCTATTCCTTAAGAATTACGTAAGCACAACTTCAATTTATTCATAAAACTGTGTTAAACCACTATGCCAAGTTTTAACTATTAAACTTTTTCAAAGCTATAATGTTAAAGAAGTTTTAGAATTATTTAGCTTGTTAAATACATTACAGAAAAACAGAATATTCATAAATATTAGGTACTGGTTTAATACAGAAATTAAGACAGTCTAGAGTTTAACATTGATGAAGTTCCTTTTTCTGTCTGAAAATGGCTTTAAGTTTTCATTAATTACAGTAGAAGCTTGATGTTTCCTAATTACTGTTGTTTTTATGGACCTTGAGCAATTAAATGAAATTTAATTGCACAAGGTCCATAAAATAATTGCAAAGGTCCATTGATTGTGCAATAAAATTATTTTAATTCTAAATGAAATTTAATTAAATTACTGTTGAGAGGGCAAGTCTAAACTACTATAGAACAGCATGTAAACAAAAACCGAAATTGTATCAAATATTTTTTTTCACTCATATTGTGCCATTATTTTTTATAAGACACAAGTGTTTTTTTCTTCTTACGCTTCCATAACTAATAGGATTTAACTGCACTTCGATTTTCAATCACATTGGGGTTCATCATGTCAGCAAAACGATGAGTCATGATGTAAAAAAGGCAAAAGATAACGATCATCACCACAACTGTCACTGTACACTTATGGAGGAAAATGCTCTTCGTGCAAGCTTGCAAACGTGAGATGTCATGATCGGGAGAAGTACTCTTTGCGCGCATTTGAAACCATCGATGTACTATCAGGAACCATACTCAATACCCTTCGCATAAACATCGATACATCGTACACATCTCAGTAAATCGCAATTTCGGATGCTTTGAAACTTTCCACTCCGAAAATCAGATCGGTGATATGATTGTATATCATGGATATTTTCCGATGCATGAATTTACTGCTGATAAAGCATTATTTATTAGAAATAAAAAGCTTGTTTCATTTTAAATTTCAATTGTTGCATTGAGTAGTCAATGTTACACAAAACATTACATTATTTGTTTGTAAGTCTTATGTCAGTCTTTTATTTTCAGTTTTCACCATCATGTATTACATGGTAAGAGCAACCAGTTCTGCCAAAGGGTCTTCCTATGGGAAAGATAAATCACCCAAGAGAATAAATAATGGCTCAGTCAGCCATGAGAGTGCCAATGGTAGTGCTAATAGTATCAGTGATATCCCAGTGAGTGAATCTTCCGAAACAGATTCAATCGGAAATGAGAACTCTGATACTGTTGAAAGCAATTCTTAGTTGTTTTTTAACGTGATTTTCTTTTACTCCTTGTTTGATAATGGAGAATAATTTATCTATTTTATAATAAAAATTTTTAGTTGATGGAACATTCTGCACTCGAAAGCGAGTCAATGTGAATTGTATATATAATAGTTAAAAACTGTGTTGCTCTTGTGATAAAGAGAGCAACGAAAAATTGATTGAAGTTATGAGTGTCGCCCTTAGCATCGCTTTCTTCCTCTTTGTTAATGCATAAGCTGATGTGTTCACAGTGATGAATTTCTGTAAAAATCATTTGTAAATTTTTTAATATTTGGATTTTTAAATGTATTTTATTACTGTTTTGGAGTACTTAAGTCATTTTTCTATTGTCCAAATGTTAATTGAATTGCAAGTGAATGTTTGCATGACTTAACAATGCGTGTGTGGCACAATTATTTTGATGCAAAAAATATCCCAGGGTTGGGAAGTTTTTGATGGTTTTTACCGGGGTTATGCCAATTGACAAAAACCCTGTGTTAAAAACTGGCATTAAAAATTGTCAAAAGCCTTAAAAAATTGATTTTTGAATTGCTCTTTTTATGTAAAGTTTAAATTGTAATACTAATTTTCTTATTTTTAACTTATATTAAAAGTAAAAGTTTTGAATAAAAAAGATCTTTATTACAATCTAGAATTGAAATAATTTAAAAAGAAATATTTGTGACTTAACATTAGAATTCTAAAGTGACTAGTGTTCATACATATACTAATTATAGACTACTAAATACTAACAAAAGATCTGTTGAAAGCTTTTTATCAGTATAATTGACTACTATTTTTTTATATAACTTTGGAATGAGGGTATATTAGTTTCTACTTTGATATAATTATTGTTAGTTATGTATTTATATATTAGTATTATGTTAGAATATATTTTATTTGTTAGTTTCATGTATTAAATATCCTTTTAAAATCCTCATAAACATGATTTACGGAGTTGATGGACATTATTATTTTCTGATGCTCTTAATAGTTTTGAAGGTTTTAACCAGTTTTTGACAGTTTTAACCAGTTTTTGACGCTTGTTATATCAAAGACCCAACCCTGAAATAAGTCTATTTTCCCCTTTCACGAAATGTACTGGTTTGTGTTTGCTAGTGAAAGTATTTCTGTGATGTTATCTCAATGTTGATAAATGTAGCCAACAATGTAGAATAACTTTTCCAATATCTTTTCTATGTGCTCCCATATGCATGATGTCTTCCTTCATTATTTAAAAAGAACTTCAGCTTCATTCATTTGGGGAATGCTTACAGTTATAATTTTATGCTTTCAGTTTTTATATCTTTTTTTCTTCATTTATATCAATATGAACAAGTGCCTTATAAATATTTAATTCGTTTTTGTTTGCTAGATAAGCTTGAAAATTAGTGCAAAATTTAGTTTATTTTTTGTGTGTTTTTTCTTTTTTAATAGTTTTTCTTGTGTTTTGAAATTTTTATTAGTTTAAGGAAATATAGTATTAGTTTATTAATTAATTGGCTATGCTTAATTAATGTTTAATATTACTAAATATTACGGTACCATTTTAGGTCAATGAATATTTATCTTTTTGGAATTTTATTGCTTCATAGCGTGTACATTGATTTGAATTAGCATTAGGAAATAAATTTATGTTTTTTAGTAGAATGTGAAACAAAGTTGGAATGATTTAATTTTGTAGTTTAGAACTATTGTATGTGAATTAAGTATTCAAAGCTCAAAACTGTTTACTTTCATTTGAATCCTGTTTTGATCTCGAAACTTAAAAATATTTTGGCACCTAAGAAACCTGTAAAATTTAACTATTTTTGTCATTTTTGTTTTCTTTTCTTTCAATATCTATTACTTTTTCTTGTTTGGTACCGAGTAAAATGCTAATAGTTCTATAGTAAGGGTGCACATCATTTTTGGATAAGCCCCCCCCTCCAATTGAAGGCTTTCAGAGGCTGCAATGAACTTTTTATATCAAATAGTAAAAGTTTCTAAGTGTAATAAAATCATCATCAATTTATCTTATAAATGAAAAGAAATAGTAAATGTAAAATTTATTTGATTAAAAAAGTTAAAATTTAATGCATATTGTTTTTTTTTTTTCTTAATAAATGCCATGTTTTTGACTGGAAAAAATAATTTTATTGTTTTTTACAGCTCATCAATTACTTTCAGATTTTAATTTTAAATTAAATAAGTTCTTGAACTAAATTTGCTCTGAACATGTTTTTGTTTAAAATATTTTGCTGACATAGTAACAATGCCGTACAATAATGGTACTGAAACTAGTTCAAAATATTGTCTCTGAGAGAAAAAAAACAAACATTTTGAGACATTTTAGTCTTTTGTCATATTGTATTAGTACATCTACATATTTTCTCCTGTTAGCTAAGCAGTTTTTTATAATCTTCGGGTAAAAGGCAGGGAGCAACTTGGTCATAGACTAACCCTAGAGCCAAAGGTTGTGCACTCCTGCTCCATAGAATGTATTTGGTTTTAGTTTTAGGCTTTGCATAAAATGCTTTAGGCCTTGCAAAATTTTTTTTAGGTTATTTGGCTTTTATTTTAAATTGTAAGAGTTTTAAATGACTTAGTTCAGATTCTCAGTAGAGATGTTATTATGAGTAAACATTGTATTGTATATTGTGTTAAAATATTTGATTAATTTATCAGTGTTCTACTTCCAATCAAATAAAGGTAGCTATTTGTAATTTTTGTATTTTATATACTTAGAAATAAAATTTTTGAATTCTATGAATACCTCCCAACTTAGCAAATTGTATTTTCTCCATTTTTACCAATTAAAAACAAAATTTTAAAGAGGGTCATTGTTTCATAATCAAGTTTTTCATGTGTGATTTTTAAAGTAAAATTTTACAAGAAATTTGTTATTTTTTTCCAGTAATGTTTGTAAATTTTAGAAAGTAGCGTGATGAATTTCTGGATTTAAAAAATGTGGATATCAGAACTATTGGCACAGTTAATATATTTTATAAAAAAAATATTTGTAGTAAAATTTTATCTTTTTTCTAAACAAAGTAATCTATTTATAAATGCTTGTGGAATATTTTTTGAACAACAAGTACAAATTTCCTTTATGGATTGATTTTATGAATATAACATTATATTATTCTAAAATATGTTTGAAAGAATTTTTTTCTAAAAAAAAAATATTGATAATTTTAGATGAGTATTAGATTATTGCTTTGTTCTCCTGGAGTGTAAGCTCCTGTTATATTTCACTTTTTTTTAATGATATTTCTTTTCATGATGCAAATATTTCTATATTTCATGCTCTCTGCTTTAATGTAATTTTATATTTTTGCTGTGAAAATCTATTTAAAAACTTTTTCCACTGAACTATAAATTTTAAAATTGTATTGTATAAATTATTTAAGAAATATCGTGCAATTTGAAAACTTTTTTAAGTTTTTCATGTGTATATTTTTTTCCACGTTATGTCACTAGGAAGGAACTTTATTGAATTATATTAATTTTCCTTATGAAAATGCTTTTTTCCTTAAGTGTATTAAGTGGACTTATTGGTGGGTCCATTGACAGTTCATTATAACTGGGTTCAACTGTTTCTACTTATTTAGTTTGCACAGTTGTTGTGTATCAGTTAATTTTCTTATGTATTATATTTGTCTTCTTTACAACTATGTACATGCATGGAAAAAATAACTCCTTTTTGTGATTCAAGATCATTCGTTTTTTAATGAAATTTTGCTCTTTCAGTAGAACTATCTACACAAATACTCCGATAGTTGAATATCAGAGATGCCAACTTGCTCCGGACAGTGAGTTAATATTTTTGAGTGGTAGTTTATTTATTGTGATTCTTGGTTTACTAAATTCAATTTATTAGGTTTTTATCCACCACTATTTCTAAAGAATTCGAAGGCTTATATAATTCGCCACTTTGTTATCGGTAAGTCATGCAAAATCTTTTACAGATGAAACAAAATTAGTCAAATATTTGCAAATTTTAGTTTGTATTTATTTACCCGTCTTTTAAATTATTTGGGCCTGTCCGGAGCAGTTGGCATCTCTGGAGTATCTGTTAAAAAAGGTACTTTTTAAAAAGATTATTATTTCATTATTCATATCAGAATTACTTCATATTTATTAATAGAATATGAATAATTTTTTTTTCTCATTTTATACTGTTTTCCCTTGTTTGTTTTAACTGTTAGATTTTTGTCACTTAAATCTTGTTTTGAAATCTGATAGCTACTCTGAATTTTTTCCCCTTCCTATCTCAAAGTAATTTAAATAATTAGAATTCGATTGTATTATCTATGATATAGTTGTACATATAATTTTTATTTAATAAGTGAACTACTATCAGCTTTTGCAGATTGTTAATTTGTATAAACATTTTGTTTTGAGATGTAAGCTTTTGCACTATATTATATAAACACTTCACAACTTTATATTCTTTAGGAATAATTGTTATAATGTGAAAAGATAGTCATTTTTACAAATTTTAAATAAAAAATATAGAAATTTCACATTTTACTAATTAGGAAACCTCACAATCAGTGCCAAAATTTAATCATAAGTGAAATCTAAATTTTTATAAATATATTTTTTTTAGAAAAAGATATTTAATCTTTTATTTAAATCTAAACTTATCTATTTGCTCATAACTATTGGTTTTACATTGACTTTTGTGCATACAGTCAAACCTAGATATCTCAACGAAAGAAAAAAACTTTTTTTAAGAAATATTTTTGTTACTTCCGTATCACCAAATATTGCAACTGAGATATGTATTTTTCATTTTTTTCATATTTTCAGAATGACGTGCGTAGGTGTTTCAAATTTGCCAAATATCGGATAGTCCATGTTATCGAGGTTTGACTCTGTATGTAATATGTGAAGAATGTTTTTTTTTTAATAGGTCAAGTCGTATAATTATCTGTATCACATATATTAGATTTTTTTTAAAGTTATTTATTTTTTATATTTTAGCAATTCAAATCTCTTAATGTTAGAAGCATAATAGTTTAATGTGATAATGCTTGTAATACTTTAAGGATTGGTGCAGTGCATCTAAACCCCTGCCAATTATCCAACATTAAAAAAAGAAAATATTGATTTTCAAATGTTTCCTAAGTTGACTCTAAGTCTTGTTTTTGGCTCAAACATTTTTTAACTGCTTTTAAATTTATTGAAATAATGTTGAATTCATTGACTGTCTCTACTACTAAATTGCAGAATATTTTATGAATTTTTTTTCTAATTAAAAAGAGTATCAGAAAAATATCCCCGTATAATTTAAAACAATGTAATTTTTAAGGAAAAAAAATGATATTTATTTGCTTAGAAGTTTTACTCTAAACAGTCAGTCTCCTTTTTTTTATGAATTAATTGTTAATATTTATTCAATTTCTATAAATTGAGATCTGTATATTCTGATGAAATGTTTTTTATTATTGAAGATTTGGCAGGAGTAAATGCACGCTACTTAAAGTTTCGTCTTTAAATATATTTATCAATTCTTTTTTTTTTTTCCATCAATGTGTAATTTCCTCTTGAATTGAAAACTACAGATATTTCATTTCATAGACACAATTTATTTTTCAATTTACTGTGTAAATAATATTTATTGAAAATTTTAATGGAAAAAAGTACACTAAAACATAATCAATGTTTATATTTTATATTGTCATACAAATAAATATTTTACAATAGGTAAAATTTTAAACTCAAATTTAAAATTAGTTATAGTAAACCAACGATGAGCTTTAAATGAGATGTTGGTTGTTTTTTTTCTAGATTGAAATGAAAAATATTATTTTCACTGAAACAAAATGATATAAGTTTCTTTTTAAAGCTTTTGTAAAATTCAATATTTTCAATGCCAAAATTTTTGGCTTGTGAGAGAGTCAAGCTTGCCAATTTCAAATTTTGTAACATGACTTGACATGCATCCTAAATGTTTATGAAATATTGTATATCCTGTTAATGTGATTGTTAGTTGTAGGTATACTCTTTTTTGTATGGATGTTTTCCATTGAGAAATTTTTACAGTGTAAGAAAATTCCCCTATATTTTGTAAGCCAGTGTTAAATATTCAATATTGTAGATCATAGTACTACTAGTGTTATCACTTAATCAGGTGTTCTGAATATGACAGATGATTTTAATTATAATTTGCTGTGTTCTACCTAAGAAACTGGAAATTTTATGCTCACCAAGTTTTAAAATTAGTTACAAAGTTCATCAATTGATGGCACCACTGTTTAGAAAAAACTAATTAACTATAAAGCAATGTTTTCTGTTGCATATCAGATTATTTCAGTAAAAATATTTGCAGAGGCGTCTGTTATTTTTGTAATTTACATAATTTCACGATTTATTTTTTTTCTACTGGTATCAAAAATTATTGCATTAATATCTTAATATATTACAATAGAAAAAATTGACTCCGTAACTACATATAAATAACTGAAACAGATGTATGAAAAAGGTCAGAAAGACTAGAAAATGTGTTCTAAAGTCTGAAAAAAATTTTATCAAAATTCCATTTGTTTTAAAAATTTGTTGCAGTTCTCAACCAAAGGAAATACTATTTCACAAGAACTGCAAGTGTTAGAAAGGGGATATTCATCTTGTTGCTGCAAACAATTATTTTGAAAACATTGTTTTATGAATTTTTCCAGTTAAGTTGAACTTTGTTACTAATTTTGAAACTTGGAAAAAAATTAATGCTTTTGTTTTCGAAGCAGAAAAACGAAAAACCATACTGCTTAGTTGATTTTTTGATCATTCTTTTTTGGACACCTGGTATGTTTTTAATTATTAAGAAAGTTAGCATGTTGGTTTATTCTTGTCTGCTGAATTTAAATTTTAGCCTTCTGTCATAAAAAGGTCAAATCTATTTTTCTGTGAAAACACATTTGATATGAGAATTAACCTTTTTATTGGACCTTTTCATTTTTTTTATGCAGAATATTTTTTTCCTTACCTATCAATTAAATATCACATTTTTGTTAGAGAAATTTAAGTTATATAATAAGCTAATAACCTGAAATATTTTTTTGTTTTCCTTTTTTTTCTTTGGTTATTTCCTGATGATATTGCTCAACTTGCATTACTTCAACACTAGAATAGCAAATAATTTAGCTTGACCCAACTAACAGTTAGTAGTTTATTTGACAGCAAATTAATTAAATAAGTAAAAAGTAAATCAAGACAAATAAAATTATGTAGTTTTGGAACTGATAGTATGATAATAAAATGGAATGGTATGTTTGAAACAATTCAAAAAGCAAGTAACACAATTTCAAAATAAAGTAATTCTTATTGTAATCGTCAAAACATAGTTTTATGTTCTATTTGTCATTTTTATTTGTTCTCTACCCCCTCAAAAAATAAAAAAAAATAAATTTCCTATAGTAGTCTTTTTGAAGTCTGTTTTTCTTAATCTAGGTAGATTTTTTAATTTTGGCACTTACAAAAACCTCCAATTTTCTCATAATTCGTAACTTCTACAAAAAGTGTAGAACTCTCAAAAACAAAGTCAACTAGTACATTTTTTTAATGATCTTAAAAATGATTTTTCTAGTGTTAAAGATTTAATGCAAGTTGTGTTAATTTTTTTTAAATTGTAAATAAATAAAATATACTTTTATTAATTTCTTTTATAATTTTTTTGTATTGAAAAATTTTTTAAGTTCTCACAAGAATCAACATGACGTTTGATTTTTATAATTCTTAATTTTATTTATGTTTTAAAATAGTGAAAAACAAAATATTGTAATAACAAGAATCCGAAAAAAGTATGTTTCTTTCTTTATAATATTTTGTTATTAATTATCAAAAGGCTTAGTGATATTTGTTTCATTATTGATGTAAACTAGTCAAGGGAATTAAAAATAAAAGATTTTTGTTTTTTAAATATTGAGGTAAAAGCATTTTGTATGTCAATGATGCAATGTTATACAGATTGATTCTGTTTTTGATACTTCTAATGCTTTTCACTTGTTTTGTTTGATCCTTGGCACAAAATACTGTTTTTTCTTCCTAACTTGAGATGATTTTGTATGTCTTCTGTCTTATGTGTTAAACTGTGAAACTATAGAATAAAAGTTGTTTGACAAAAATGTATCTAATTTGATTTTCGATAAATTAATGTTACACGATAAATTTAAAAAATTGGATTTTTTATGTAGGTTTAAAAAAACAATAGTTTCATTTTTGTCCATTCTGAGACGAAAAAGGTAGGACAAGAGGCTTTCAAAAGAAAGAGGGGGGCGTTCAGTGTTGGTATTATTTGTCTACCTAAAAAAACGTCCATTTTAAATATTTTTTTTTAAAAAAAAAAGCTTTGTTCCTGTTAATTTTTCTGCATCAAATAGAGCATTATGTATTATTATCTACCACTTTTAGTTTCCGAAAATCGCATTCAAGTAATTTCATATCTTATGGATTTTTTTATATTATTAAAATATATGGTGCATTCGAATGTCTTAATTTTTGGAAAAAACGTCAATAAGGAGAAAAGGCCACAGTTTTGTAAAAATGAAAAGCGTTTGTGGTCTAATTTTTTATATTTAAAAACTTACTCCGCTGTAAAAATTTACAAAAACTGAGAATAAGGCAGTGATTTTGATAATTTTCATCTAAGTAGAAAAATGTCGCCAAAATGGCGAATTTTTAAAAAGTTTAATAGTTTTTAAGATTTTAAAGTTATTTTCTGTTCTAAAGCCCAGACAGTTTTTCTCGGCAATATTATATAGTTTAAAATTAGCGCATTGCTTTAAGTGTAAGGAAATTAAACTATGGCTTTTCTTCAGCGACAGAGCTTCGAAAAACAGCGTTCACTGGGTGCATAGCATCCAACAAAAGTACTGTTTATAGAAAAGAAAAAAATGAAACTGAAGTGTTTTATTATTAGGAAAAAAGTATATTTGAAACAGTTCGGTTTTATCTACCACAATACGTTAATTATATGAATATTGGTAACAAATAGAAAGAAATATTCTTTTGGCGGCAGCCCCCATGCACTACTACTAAATGAAAACATTCATTGTTAAGTCCTGATGCACTTTAGTCCTGTGACCGATCAAAAGTGCACCCTAACTTTACTGACACTGTATTAAGTGAAGGCATCAAAAATAAAATTCTACCACCAGATTTAATTTGGCTTTTCCTTCCTAGTTATGTAATAAATAGGTATGAAATTTGATAATAAATTGTTATAAAATGAATATATTTTTTGTGAACTGATGAAACTAAGTACTAGCGATGCACAAGTGATAAACAGTCCGGTTGTTTTTAGACAGTCGCTTTGAGATGTGACTGGCTCTTTAAAATAAGATATAGGATGCAGGCTTTTAATCGAACATTACTTATGTGATCACTCCATGTGACTTGACTGCTTATTGTGGCAACAAAATAATTTGTTTTGACACTCTTGGGGTGTTTTCTCTCAATATACAATGTGGTTATCATTATCTCTACTTAATTTTTGAGTTTGATGTTTGCATTGACAGAAATTTTCCATTCCGCTCACCAATCTTCGACGGCTATAATAGCTTTGTTTATGTTTCCCAAAGATTAAAGATCATATTGATTTACTAATTAAGAGGAAATTCTGATAATTATAGAAAGTCTGCAAAGCAAAAACAAGCAATGTCTGGTAAATTTCAGAGTTCTAAGAATCGCATTATTATAATCTGAACTATTAAAAGAACTTAGATATTAATATTATAATCTCGTTAAGTTAAATACGCTCTAGGAATAGAGTTATCGACTATGGCAACCTACATCAATTATAAAGTACAGTAGGGAACCGATTATCCGGAACGATCGGGAACATCGCTATTCTGGATAACTGATTTTTCCGGTTTTCTGAATCGCTACAAAAAGCTGTTTTTTTTATTGTTAAACCCAACTTAAAAAAAAAAATATTTGGAAATAATCTTAAAAAGAAGAAAAAACGATGAAGTAATACACTAATGATTATTTCCAAAATGACGGTAAGGTAAACATCTTTCAAAAAAGAAAGAAAAATCCTAAAATCTTATGAGGAAAAAAACATTTTTTTTAAAAAAATGGCTGGAAAATTTATTAAATTTCGTTCCGGTTTTTTGGTTTTCCGGTTTTCTGATTTCCGGATAACGGGTTCTGTACTGTACTTCAAGTAAAGAGGACATGTTTTATACACTAGTCAATTGGTTTTTAATATTTATAGTGGTAGTTACACCACATTACGTCTCTTCCAGAATTTTATCAGTGATAGAATTCGATGAATGAATACGACTAGTTGATTTATGCTATTTTTTAAAGAATTTATTTAATTGTTATTATTTTTTTATTTATATCATTTTGATCATTATTTTTTTCTTCAATTCTGTTTTTTGATCGGGTGACTTCGTTTTTTTCCTTTCTTTTATTTTTTTTTGGGGTGGGGAGGGGTGTTATATTTTAAGCAAATCAACTATCTAATGTGGACCATCCATCGATGTTGGCGAGCTCCTAACACTCCCGCAGGTCACCATTATGGAATAATTATTTGATTATCCATATTAGATCGTACAAAGATTTTATCAAATGAGCATTTTGCTTTAAAAAAAAAAAAAACATCACATTCTTGGATGAAAATAAAACTTTATTCCCTTTTTCTTTACGTGCACGCCGCCACACTGCAAAAGACGTTTTGCTGTTCTATTCTAGGGTTGCATTATTGTTTTACGTCGGCTTGGCGATGATTTTATTCGCCACAAGCTTAATGATCATGGTATCACACGAGGACTACGTCACCATATAAGTTTTCCTAGTTTTTTGAAATCACGTATTAATTTGTTTGTAGTTACACTTTGAAATCAACTGAACTGAATTTAAAATGAATACAAATTACTTACTTTGAAGTAATGGAGAAAAAATAGTTATTCGTTTCGGGGAAACGTAAAAAATCGCTATATTGTTAACGCCAATGGTGCTTAATTTTGGTAATAGGTACTAATAAAGGTATTTAACTTTTCTGTGGAACGTCGGTTCTCTTTTTCGCGATTTAGATTGAGTAGATATGTCCTTCCAGTTGTGTTATATATATGGAAAAAAATAAGAGTTGGTGTGCATATAAGTATCTCTCATAATTCTTTGCCAGATATGGCATTCTGGAGCACACTGTAGAAAGTATATCTTGAAATATATTTGTTCGATCAAAAATTACATGATTTTTTTATATTGTTGCATAAATATCAGTCAGATACCTGATATCGGCTGGGTTAAAGATTCAATTTTCACCGGGTATCCTCACACGACAAAAGTTTAGGGAGTGGTTTATCTCTGTTACTATGTTCACGCTACAGTGTTACTTAGATTAAAGTCACTACGAATATGGTTTGAGAATAACCCTTTCGTTTTGGTTTAGTTTAGGAGAGTGCTGCTTCTTCACTTCTCCCTCATTAGAAGTTACTTTACTCCTGTTTCCATAGCAGCACAGACAACCTCAGACTTTTAGTCGGAAGGAGTTCTCGGGAAATTAGGTATATTACCGTTTTTTGAGAAGGATTTTAAAATTATACATTTAGAGTAGTGATTATAGAAGATTCTGGGCATTTTAAGATTTTTGAAAGTGTCCATTACACAGTTTAATTAAATTTACTAATAATAAATTTAAAAAACTATGAAAAATGAATAAAACAGCAAGAAATGAAGGAAATATATTACATTTTTATTGACTAGACACATTTTAAAATACATGGGTTAAAGTATAAACAATTTTTTTTTCACAATAAATTAGAAAATAAAAATAGTTTTTCATTTTACAGTCTCTATTGTGCTTTCTTAATTTGGGGAAAGTCATTGGATTTTTGCATGAACAATCACACAATCATTATTAACTATCAGCATTTATTTATAAAATTATAATACCAGCGGTTATTCATTTGTAATTTTATATATTTTAATACCTTTAGATCATATTTCTTGTCTGATATTTCTCATTTTTTTCAAAATTGTTTTTTTTTACATCGTTTTTTTGGCAAGAATAAAGGCTATAAAGACATTGTCCAATATTTACTAGAATTTACGTAATTATTAAGTGATAGTGAACTAAACCACTATGTAGTGCACAAAACAATAGTCAAGGATATAGTAATAATCGTCAGCATTTAAACAAAACAATGTTTAAATTAATAATATATAGTGGTGGTTAAAATTAATTAAATCTAATGGATTAAACCAGAATGGCTACCGTCCCAAACAAAAACTTCTTTTAGTGGATCTGTTGATTTTCCATTTATTTTTAGAAACTAATTCCTATTCCTCAATATCAGATTTGTTGGAGAAATTAGTTGAGAGTAATTGAAATTATAGTTAGTTCGAAAATCCTGGATAATCATCGAATTTGGAATAAAGGTGACACCCTGTAAGGTGGAGCTGATCTGTTAAACGAGTAAAGAATAAAGTTTAAAATAAAAAGTAGTAATAACTTAGTTTCATATTTTATTAGGATGATGCAACTACTTGCTTGTTTTATTTAGAAAAACTGGGCACCTGGGTCACGCAGCGACCCATATCATCACCCCCTACATCAGAAAGCCTCCACACGGTTTCTTATAAGTAAGCTGCGCAAATTATTTAAAAAGCTAACAACTTGTGCGCATAAACCCAAATTTTATTTTAAAAGTACTTGAGAGAAATTTATCATATATATTTGAGAATTGAATCTGTAGTGGTTGACAAGTAAATAAAACAAACCAATTATATTCTTAAATTAAAAAAAATTTAGACATATACTTGCTACCATTTTCTAATTTTTAATATATTTTTTATTAAATGGTTCTTTCACTAATTGGTTAACTTCATAGTGATCTAATCGGACTACCTACAAAAAACCGTGTGGAGGCTTTCAGTTGTATACACTGAGGTAAAACATTTTGAATATAGCAACATTGGGGTAGCTATACAAAATGTGACGCATCAACAATTATTTTCTAAATACTTTAATTGCCTTTTTTAAAAATAATTTGGTTGCAATGGAACAAAAATCAAAATAATTTTCTTTACTTTTCTTTTTCTCGTTAGCACTTTTCATTTTAAAAGCACTTTCCTCATTGATCAGTATAAGACGACATATCAATGAAATCTTTAACTGGCAACTGGGAGAAATCTTTTTCAATTAATACGGAAATTCGTAGCATTTGGATAATACTATTTTTATTTATTACATTTTATTTAATCCCTTACTTATCAACCCAATGGGTGAAGAGTGGTAAAAAATGTGTTTTAAACTATGTTTAAACTGCATGTAAAAACTTTTTTCTCTCAGCTACCATTCTAGTTTTTAAATTATTCTAGATGTCTTGTTACAAACATAAACATAGATTTTAAAATTATTAATGTATTCTAGTAAGCATCTTTTATTTTTTAGATTAATCCTCGAAACGAAATAACTTTCATCACTTTTTACATTTTGAGCTTTTTAAAGAGAGAAACCGGTCTTAAAGAGATATGTTTCACAAAGATTAAATAGAAAATGACATAATTTAAAAAAAGCTGTCGTCATCTTTAACATTACATAAAAATAAAAAACATACTGATTTGCGCTAATTTAGTAGTATGCTAGCAATTCATAGAACCTAATTTTTTCAACACAAATGAAATCTCAGCACTAAGTTCCTCCCTTGGGTTCAATTAATTTCTTTTTAGATTTAGGTGGATTTAATATCAGACAAAGTAAAAAAAAATTTTTTTTACAAAAATATTTTGTATTGTTGTATGGATAGTATTTTATCAATTAGCAATACAATATAAGCAATTTTTAATTAAAGCGACCAGAGGAAAAATATTTGTATTTCAAACATTCAACGTTTTTCAAGTCATTGCAGTTTGTTTTGACAGAATTGATTTGCTTTAAAATGTGGGTGTTATGCTACAAAGGATGACAATTTTGATTGATCAAATACTTGTATTTTTTCTCAAATAAGTTTGGGAAGAGGTGGCTACAGTTTTTACGATTTGGCCGGAAAAAATTACTAATCATTTGTTCGAACATATCTAAAAATTTTTATTGAATATTGGACGATTATCTTCATTTTGGATGCCAAATATAATGTTTATTTTTTTGAAAATAATTTCTTTTCAAAGTTGCTTTTGTCCATACTAGGCCCCACTTCACGGGGGCACATCTAAAAACCTATTTAATTTATTGTTAAACATTAAAAAATAATTAAAATTAAAACATAGCTAATTTTGATAATTACTTTATATTAATTAACGTTAAAGCCTAATTAATATAAAACTTTAAACTCTTCCCAATTTAGTGAGAGATTTTTCTTGAATATTTAAAGTAATAGCAAATTTCACTCTTTGCTTCTTAATTTGTCACGTATAATGAAGTTGATTTGCAATAATTTGGCCACAGTGATAAATAAATAATTAACAAATAAACAATAACTGTTAATAGTTCGGTAAAGTTTTACGTAATGGCAAAATTAAGCAAACTTTGCTAGCCTTAATTGAAATTGCACTAGCACTTTAAATATTGTAGGAATCCATAATTTCTGCCTCAGTAACTATGCAAATATTTTATCAGGGTTCCTACAGCTTTTAGAAAACTTTAACACTTTGACGCAGTTTATGCTAAAAGCTATGCTATATGCTAAAAGGGACAGCACTGCTGTCCCTTTTAGCATATATTTTTTTCTGACACTTTACATACAAAGAAAAATATATTTTGGTATTTTTAAATTGTTAAAAACAAACTAATAGTTTCGAAAAAAATCTGTTAGATCATCGGAATTATAATTGTACTAAAATATAAAATCCAAAAAGTAGTTAAAAAAAAATTCATTTTTTCGCATTCAGAAATTGATTTTGTAAATTGAAGTAATGTCATAGATCAATAACTGCTTCTCTTAGACTTCAATAACTGCAAATTTGAAAGATGATTGTTTTATTATAAGTGTTTGGAAGATTTTACCTTTAACGCAGAAAAAAGACACCAGGGTTTACTGCTGTATTTCGCAACCATAAACTATTAAAATGCCAAATATAATATAGTTTTCACTTATCTTGATCTAAATTAATACAAACTAATAATGAAAAGTAATAAAAAATATTATAAATTCGTTTAATGAAAATTTTGCATCAAAGGGTTAATAGTGTTACAGAAAATAAAGCATAATTCCATCATTTAATAAATTTGTAACCACCGCTATATGTTATTTAGTAAAGAAAATACATTTGTAAGTCTGATTTATCAAGCTGGCATCTTAATAAGAAAATTTCCTCCAAGTATACATAACAATAAGTAAAATACTTTGTTAAGATAAGTCCACTCTGGCCCCGTGAAAATATTTGTTTGTTTAAACTAAATTATTGGTCAATTAAAAAAGGACAAATCAAAGCTGCAGCTATTAAAATAAGGTATACACATATTTCTTCATTGCACAATAACTCCTATTATTAAAAATTATGAATATAAATCGATAATTATAAATCAAATTAAGAATTTACTTTTCCACCATGAAAACTGTGTTTTTTAGAATTCTAATTGAAAATAAATTGTGAAAAAGTTTTACCTTATTGTCAAAAATTTACAGTCAAATTTCAATTGAAAGTTGATATACAGTGGTGTCATTTAAGAACTAAATATATATATATAGTGGTGTGTAATATAAGTTTAAATGGATAAAAAAATAAAACACTAAACAAACCACTTCCACTGCTATCTACCACTCCCAACAAAATATTTTCCAAAGTGGAAGAAAATTTAAAAATGTAAACTTCGATTTTTTTAAAATTTAGCTCTCATTTTGAAAGATTTACAGCAAGATGCTTTATAAATTTGATTGGCGCATGTTTGATATAAACTTTTAAATTATTTATACGTAGTGGTGGACAAAATAACTTTAAATCAAATTTACCAGTCCGAGAAAAATACACGTAGGCCTAAATTTTGCTACCACTAATAAAAATTGCCCATAACGTGGAGCAACTTGGTATCTCCTCACTAAGAATGCTCACTTACCTGATATTTAGTATTGGGTATATTAATGTAGCAAATGAAAGTTATGGATCTTATGATGTATTATAATGGCAATTTAAAATAGAAAAAAAAAGTTTTCGATTTTTGACTTTACGGTCTTTGATTTTTTTCATAGCTATTGCTTAGAAAGTCATAGATAATGACAAATGAAACCTACATACCTATTTAGGTGTACCTAAAATGTAGTACGTATTGTCGTGCGATGCTTATTTGAAAAATGTCCAGTTTAAAATTGATGGGGTTAAAATATTTATAAAAATGATTTTTTTATAAAGTGAGAAAAAGATGTATTTTCTGAATATGTTACAGTGATTAAACGAAGGGTATAAAACTATTTAGAAATTGAGGAAATTGTCCATATATATAACATATGTGTATACAATGACCAGCATACGCGTAAATACAAGAATGTATACTATATTTACATATACATAACATACAGATATAAATAGATATATGTACTGTTAGACGCTCTTTTGATGAGTGGAACTGTAATTAATGTACAGTAAAAATCTTCCCCAAGAATGGCTGACGAACCTCTTGCTTTGTATAAGTACTGATACGTCTGATCATTTTGTCTATTTCTTTATGGTATCAAATGTGAAAGAGTATAAACAACTTTAAATCGCGAGTGAAATTTACATATTTACTAAGTTTCTTTGAACGTAGTTCGCGGCACAATGTTGAAGAATAGAATTCCATCTTTACATAGTTCTTGGTATTTATACAAAAGGAGTTTTGCTTTGCGATCTTTTCTTCTTCAGTAGCTTTCAACACGCACGCTGTTTTGTCGAAATCTTTCTATTTTTGTGTTAAAATGAACAACACTGATTAGATATTTAGACCTTCAAAGAGCTATAAAAGCGGTAAATCTCTTTTGACAAGTTTTGCACGTCTGTGTGACAAATTATTTTATTAAAGAATAATTTGAAATTTTAGAGCGACGTTGAGCGAGTTAAATAAAATCAGTATTGAATTAAATAAGATTTAATTCTTATAAATGAATTTAGATAAATGAGGTATTTGATAAATTGTAAATATCTGGTGAAAAATCGATTAAAAATATAAGACTAATCCAATGTAGAGTAATTCTATTTGGCTTTGAAATCATTAAGTGAATTTTGTGCAATTATAAGGATTAAGCAATTAAAAAGTCTCAGAAGCTATTAACTCTATAAATTGTACTGCCATTTAAAATTGCATTATTACTCTAATTTCCAAAAAAATATACCGCATACAGTTTAAAGTTGCGCACATCTGAGTGTAAAGATCTATAAATCAGCGAAACTGCATGCAAATTTGATTTCCCATTGGTAAGTGGCAAAATTGTTTTGAATGAATTTCAATTAAAATCGATAATTTGTATTCAGACTGAAGATTTTGTTGCTTAAGGCAGCGACGTGTTGTTTTACCAGGAACATGTTGGGTTGTTATTTTGCTCGAACGTCAGGCACTGACCTCATTGAAGAGTTGTGCAAAAATTATCCTAAACCTTATTACTCCACGGTGATGCGATTTATTTACTATTTCAGGAAAAACTAGAGCTTCAGTAGACTAGAATAAAGGAAGTAGGCTATTGGTCTTGATCGATGAAAGATTGAGAGAAGTTAAAACAAAATTTCCGTAATAGCCGACCAATAGTCAATGAATGATAATATTAGATGTGAGAAAAATTGAGTGGGAGCGTTTTGAATTTGAACCAGAAAAATGGAATTTGAACATTCACTGTAAAACCTTAAGCTTGAGTTCCAAAATTTGGCTTCCAAAATCCCTAAACACTTTTATAGACCGTTAAACTATGATGTGTGTAACTTTAAATTCCTCCTGTATTAGCCGATTCTGTATAAAATTTATAATTAATTTTCTTAATCTAACTGAAACCTTAGTAACATTTCAGTAAATGCCACGAGCTGATCCACCGGTTTATTTCCTCAGCGTGCGTTTCAGTAATATGCTTTTCCTCACTTAGAGCACCAAACTTCAGAATGCTTTCTTTTGGTGTCCACGGCGCTATTTAGAACTTGTACAAAAATTTCAAAGAATGTCATTGCACTATTTATTACGTTTGATATTGTAGCATAGGTGCTGCCGAGAGGTTAGGATGAGGCGTTGTATTCATTCTTAGTGCGGGGAAGCTCTTATTATACCAGTCTTCGTCAGCGTCTTGCCTCATGGCAGCCGCCATGTTAGGGTTAGCGTGGCCCATAGAGAATGGCTGCGCCGCCATCGGTGGATAACTGGAGGCCATAGGTTGATATCGACCTCCCATGCTATTGATGGCATTTGGCGGCGGATATTGATAGCCCCTAGAAGCCACAGTGGCGGTAGGATATATGTTACGCATCATTGCTCCATTGCAGGTTGGAAGAACAGAGGGCGCTGCTAGTGCCTTCTGTAGCTGCTTTTCCTGCTTCCGGTATTTTGCACGTCGATTTTGGAACCATACCTGCAAAAATAAATAAATAAAATGATTTGGTGACTATAACAAAAATATACCAACTATTTAAAACAATATACTGTTTCCAAGAGGAATTTTAAATAAAGCATTTAAAGCCGTTTTTCGAAGGCTCTGTAGTCTAATGAAATGATGCTCTTTTGAGAATAATAGGTTGATTTCATAACTGCTATGGACTTGAAACATTTACTAATGACTGTTAGGACAAGTAAAGCCTATCTAAAGCTAGCGCTATCTATCAACACATCCTAGAAGAACGAAGGCCTCAGCACGAATCAATTTAGTAGTTCGACGTGACGAACATAAACTGCGCAGTCGATGAAAAAGAAGAAAGATGTTAATACGTTTGGGCAACTAAGTTGCGCAGTGGTGGAAAATACGAAAGATGTCATTACGTTTGGACTACTAAAGGATCAAATTTCTTGTTTATGGTAACCCGTGCTAAGGCCTTCTCTTTTCTAGGAAGTATTGTATCAATGCTTATTCTGAGAATGGCGCAAAGCGTCAATATGGAGAAAATCCACTGTTTTGTGGAAATGAAAAGCGTTTGAGGTCTAACTTTTTCATATTTAAAAACTTACTTTAATGTTGCAATATCTGGAAAATTTTTTAAGAAAAGGGAATAAGGCATAGATTTTGATAATTTTAATCTAGGGAAAGAACTGTTGCCAAATTGGCAATTTTTAAAGAAGTTTAATAATTTTTTAAAATATTTAATGTTTTTGTCCGTTATAAAGCCTGAATAATTCTTTTCCGCAAGATTATAGAATTATATATATTAAAAGCGGAAATATTCCTAGAATACATATGCTCAGCACACAACATTTTATTCTTTAATATTTACGTTTTGTGTTTGCCCTCTTCTATTCAATTATTCTAAGCTACGTTTTTATCATTTTCTACCAACATTCACATGCAATAGTAAACTGAAAGAAATATTCCAAGAAAATTTGCTCATTTTAATCTCTTATAATAGATTTTTTCTTTTTATTAGTTTGTTCTATTTTATTAGTTAAATTTTTAGAATAAGGATAATTACGCCCACTCTTGTTGCTGTTGTTTCCATTGCTTACTTGACATGCGAGCTAGCCCGCTTGGGAAACCAAGAGGATTTAAGCGAGAGAGAGTGCATTTCTTGTTTTTCAGTGGCGCCATCTACGGCTAAGAATACGACTTCAGCCTCGAACACACATCACAGATCGTTTTACATGGCAGACCCATTCACGCATTCTAAATTACTCAGAACTTTGTTAATTATGAAATTACATTAATTACCTGAACATAAATTAACAATCTAAGTCTTAGTTTAGAACTGGGCAACTGGGGAGGGGGGGGGGGTTTGCGGCCTTTATCCAATCCATCTGATGTGAAAATGGTAGGGTCAGCAGACGATGAGGTAATGGATTAACAATAGCTAGGTGTATTTGGTATACAGTTTTAACACTAGATCTCCCAAGGAAGTCATTTTGACTGCTTTTTAGTTGCAATTAGAAAAACAATGATGTATATAATGATACAATTTCTTAGAATTTTGCGACTTTTTGTAAAACATATAATTTTTTTTATTGTTAATATTTACTAATAACTTGTTATACAACTGTAAGTAATATAAAAAATAATAAAAATTAATTTTAAGTAAATTTCTTTACACATTAGTTACTTCTTTCAGAATCCATTCATTTTGACTGCTTTTGGGCAATTTAGGTGTATAATAAGTTTCGGTCTTTCTAGTGTTGATCATTTACATGTAGAGGTGGGCCGATTCTACTTGAATCAAATTTACTAAACTAAATATCAAATATTAAACCATAAACTTGGCTACCATTAAACAATTTAAAGCGAAACAATCAGGAGTCTCCGAATATGCATCGATGTCAGCTTGGAAGCCTTATAATCTCCATAACATTTTTAACGGTAGTGAAACAGCATCCAAAACAAGCTTAAATAGTTTAATTCATTTGAAAGCACCTAACTTTTCAAGGTGAAAACAAAAGATATTTCGCAAAGGTTTCTATTCATAAAAGCACACCCTCGTAATGAGGATATTGGCTGTGCATAACGATATCAGAGATGCCAACTTGCTCCGCTTTGTAAAATAGTATTTTATAGTGGTAGCGAAATTTAAGTTACTTATAAATTAGCAATTTTCATTTTAATAATTTTTTCACCACTAAATATCAAAAATTATAAGTATCGTATAAAATGCAACTTTAAAGCATCAATCTTCTGGTTACTCAAATAAAAAGTTGGCGTAACTATCTTCCTTTAACGCATTTTACTATATAATTTGCTACCACTGTATCAAAACTATTCCAGAAAGCGGGGCAGTTGGCATCCCTGCGATATTAGTAGCTACTGAGGTAAATATATATATAATACAAATTATATTAATATATAATTACTAACTAACTAACTAATCAAGTTTTTCAGAGTACCTATCCAGGAATGGATATCTGCTCTTTCATCTAAATTGAAGAATATGTGGTGAAAGGGAAGGGAGGTGCTGCGTTAACATTAAGTTAAATCTCAGAATGAACAATAATTGATAAAGTCAAGTTTGGGTCATATAAAACAATAAATCGCAAGTTGATACATAATAAAGGGAACAAATTGAAGATAAAGATAAAATATTTACACTATTTACAAAATAAATATATGTAATTTTAATTCGTGCTTCGTATATTTAATAAAATTATTTAAATATAGTGTATAGTGTATAAAATTATTTAAATACTTATAAAGTAAATCAATATGTAACATTTCAAATCATAAAAAATGGTGAAACGTAAAATTTAGTACCTCCTTAAAAATTTAAGAAAAAACTTTGGCTAAAACGATCATAGTTAGTAAGTGTGTATTAATTTCAATGTTTAAAGGTTAAGTTTCATGATTTTCTTTATAGCTCTTTTTAAGGAAAATAAATAAAAAATTGCTCTAGAATTTCTCATAAAGAGCATATAAAATCTGAAAATATAAGCTATCGCCAAATATTGTTTCAAGATCAAAAGATTTCCTATCTTGGGATTATAAGTCAAAAGTTCAAGATAGGCTATGATTTAATAAAAAGATTTAAAAAAAATTGGATAAATCAATTGCATAGTATTGTTGTTCCAAAATGGCTTAGAAGACCATAAAATCACAAAGAAGTGATTTTACTCCTCTATTTCTTTTTATATGTACCAGATCGATATTTGTAAAACTTTATAGACTTTAGTCTTTTAAATTGTTGCAACTTAATAATTGAAATAATCTAAAAAAATTAATGGCATGAGCTCTTCAATAAAGAAAGCTTGAGAGATTTTGTTACTGAAAAATTCTTTATTTACAGTTAACAAGTTAAATTATGAATTTCGACAACATAACCAACTGCTTAGGAATTTCCGCAGTTGTTGCTAAAGACTTATCCCTGTGGCAGAGTTATTTATTTGACTTAACACGTTCACGCCGGGGTGACCCACCGGTGGGCCACGCTAGATTGTCTCATCTTGGCAGCGCACCGGAGTAAAAACTGGTAACAATAAATTTCATTTTTTAGTTTTTTTCCGGGGAATAATAAAAACCCATAACTACCAATTGTTTTTAACGGATGCAATTTTTATATTGAATTTCTTCTTCGCCGTGATAAATTTCCTTACACTGAATTGTTATTGTTGAGAATAGATGAACTCCTCCTGAATATTATCTAATATTGAAATAATTCTTCTACCAGTATTTTCACTTTTCCCGGCGTGAACGTGTTAATGTCATGTTTTGTCCGACGTGACTCATAATAAATTCGAATTTACGTATAACAGGCTACGCTGTAAAAAATGGATATTCAAATATCATGAAACTTTCTTTGTTTCAAAAAATTTCGTTTCTGGCAGGGAGTGTGATTGCCACCCCCAGGCAGGTGGAAGATGTTAATTGTGATAAGGTTATATATATATGACCGGACCCATGAAGCTTGATGACATGGNTTGGTGAATATCCGAAACATTTGTGATATCCAATTTGATATTAATTTAATCTTTGATATTATTATATTTATTCGATATTTTAATATCCGCTGAGAATAGATTGGGAGAAACAGTGTTCGAAGTACCGGGTAAATGCATACAGGGCAGTGGCACTTAACTAGACCTAGAATATATTTCGGATATTTAACAAAGCAACTATTATGTGATTGTCAACATTCACAGTAGTTTATAAATCCAAAAAGGAAATTGAAAAGCTAAAGTTTTGCTATTAAATAAAAAATAAATAAAATCTTCCAGAAAATCTGGTAGAATTAACAGATATGTAGATAGTTTAAACATATTAAGCCAGGTTATTAATTAGCATACCTGTCCACTTTTGGACAAGTATGATAATTAATAACTTTTCCTTGTAATTAATTACGGGTTTTGGCGGGAGGTTTCTGTCAAATATCTGAAGTCATAGAAAAATTTTATTTTATAATTTAAGTTTTAATTTAATAAATTTAATTTATAATGATTTTATCACCATGAATGAAACACTTAGAAAAATATCTAAGACCTGATAATTATGCTGTGAAAATTTCCATGGGTAGCAAAATTAAACAAATTTAGCTTACCTTACTTTTGATATTCTAAAAATGACATTATTTTTAAAATTCGATATCTCAGCAGCTATTAGACCAATTTCACACAAATTTTGTATTTTGTCTTTTAAAATTGCATTTTTTAAATTAATGTAAAAAATTATATACTTTACAATTCATACTTTTTTCGAATATTATTAAATAAACTATAAAAAAATAATAAATATTTATTATATTTTACAAGATATTATTTTTCGGTAAACGAATTTCATAATTGTGCTCAAAAATGCTTCAATTTGCTAAAAAGTTCTCGAGATATGGCGAAATTCGAAATTCAAATTAGCGTTAATAATTGGATCCTTGCAACTCTAGAAGAAGACTATCACTAATACCCAGACACGTCACCTATGACTTTAGCGTCAGCTGATCGCTTATAAACAAAATAGTG